CGGTTGGTACGGACGGTATGAAGCAGTTGTACCAAGGTTAGGGTTGCATTTAGGGAACCTGGGCAGAACAATTATATGTTCGGGGACCACCTTACAGCCCGGATTTCTGATAGGGATCACTGCGTCGTTCCAATTACAATGATTTTAGCATTGCGCGAGCGGAATTACTCCTATTCGGCGTCTCGTTGACTCCACGGAATACATAACCCGGGCCAGAGATTGGATAGGTCAACAGAAGGCCCCTACTGACGCGACAAATAGCAGTTCTGTCACTGAAGGAAAAGAAATACCATTGCTAAAATACGTATGCAGTCCACTTTACAAGTCAAGGTTCCCCAATGTAACTGTTTTCAGAGTTTGATACTCCGCCATGCCATATTTACTGCCCTCAAGCCCATAACCACTCTCCTTAACGCCGCCAAAGGGTGACTCAACTGCGCTGATTTTGCCCGTATTCACCCCACACATGCCAATTTGAAGCTTCTGGGCCACGCGCATTGCACGCCCGACGTTACGTGAGAAGAGATAGCCCGCCAGGCCGAATTCCGTATCATTTGCCAGACCGATTACTTCCTCTTCGGTGTCGAATGAGAATATTGGGGCAAACGGCCCAAAGGTCTCCTCGCGCGCAACAAGCATTTCCGACGTGGCACCGGTGAGAACAGTAGGCTGCATGAAGAATCCAGGGCTGCTTGGGGCCAAGCCTCCGATTTCAATGCAGCCTCCTTTGCCAACTGCATCCTCGATGTGCTCCTTAACCTTTTCAACAGCAGATGCGTTAATAAGCGGGCCTTGTGTACATCTATGGTCTATTCCAGGTCCCAACTGAAGTTCTGATACTCTCTTCACGAGCTTCTGGGTGAAGAAGTCCAAAACCCCCTTTTGAACGTAGAAGCGATTGGCACTATCGTAGTGTTAGAATATGCAACGTGGTTAGAAAGGAGTGTACTCACCACACACACGTCTGACCTGAGCATCTGAACTTGGATGCCATTGCGCCCTCCACGGCGATGTCGATATCGGCATCATCAAAAACAATGAATGGAGCGTTCCCACCCAACTCTAAGCTCACTTTCTTCAAAGTGCCAGAGGCTAGCGTAGCAAGAGTTTTACCGACATTTGTAGAGCCGGTAAAGCTGATTTTGCGAACGAGAGGGTTCGTCGCCAGCTCCGAGGCTACCTCCCTATTCTTTGTAGGGCAAATCTGTAGTGCCTTTGCCGGTATGCCAGCTTCGATGGCCAACTTTGTGAGAGCAAGGCACGTAAAAGGTGTCTCACTCGGAGGTTTAATAACCACGACACATCCAGCAGCCAGAGCAGGGGCTACCTTCCGCGTAATCATGGCGGCCGGGAAGTTCCATGGTGTGATAATTCCGCAGACGCCGATCGGCTCTTTCATGGTCATCACCATGGTATTGGGCGTTGATGGTGGGATAGTGTCACCGTAGGATCGCTTTGATTCCTCGGCAAACCAAGCGAGGAAGCTCGCAGCATAAGTAATTTCGGCTTTAGCCTCGTTTATTGTTTTTCCATTTTCCAGGCACAAGATGGTTCCAACTGAACATGTCTTCTGTTAGAAAGTGACAGGCGCTTGGTATAAAAGAGTGTGTGCTTACGGTCCTCGACGTTCTCCATGACTAAGTCGTGCCACCTTCGGAGCAGGTTAGCACGCTCCGGAGCCGTGGTCGAAAGAAAGTAACTTTTTTGAAACTCATGCGCACTCTCGATTGCAGATTTCATGTCACCCAAATCACAGTCAGCTACGGTCCCGAGGACCTGAGCTGTAGACGGCTCTGAAAAATGGTTAGATGGATTTCAAGGGGCTGGCATGTAGAGACAAACCGTTTACGCTGAATGTATGCTCTTTTCTAATCCAAGTTCCATCGATGAACGCCTCATTTTCAGCAAAGAGGCGGCTCTCTTTTATCTTCATCATGCTGTTTGTAACCTGCTCCGGAGCTGTTTGAGAAAATGGGGATTCGGTGGACATTGTAGAACGAGTTTTTGAGAGCAGAAATAGATTGAGATATCAGGAATAGAGATTCCATGATGGTAGTGATTCTTGGGTCGTGTTTTATACCTCCGTCGGGGGCGTCCATGCCGCGGAATATTACTTCCGGTCACTGACCTGGGACCTATGAACTGTTCCGAGGGGGATGAAATCTGGTTACCAGAAATATTGAGCACCATGGGAGTTACGGCGTACATGCATTGAAATGACGGCTACATCAATATGCTTCTCTTCATTCCGAGATGGATGTGATCACCCAACAATATTCCAAAAGATACCCAATCAAATGCGATCAAGATTGATTTCCTCGCTGCGCTACTCCGACTTCCCGCAAACAATTTTTGCAGCATAAACCTGCGTCAATGTAAAAATAAATCCAACCGTCGCTGGGAAGAAGTTCCCGTCCTGTAAACTTGCAAGTTCGCTTGAAACCGATGCCATGATCCCTGACTTCACATAGGTGACCGATGGTTGCAAGGGCCCGGGTTTCAAATTAGTAAATTTTGACCTTCTAGTCAATATATCCCCCAATTTTGTGCTGTCCAGACTTTCAAGTGTTAGGTAAGTCTGGCCTTACATTTCGCAACCAGTAGACAATACCACATGCCGTTGGCGCGTATTTGAGGGCATAACTGGTGGATGGATACAATACTGTCAGTTCCTGTCCATGGTTTTTCGTTTTTTGGCTTTCGAGGGAGTTTTCAGACCGCGTTCAGTTGTATTGTGAGTCTATACCTAGCAGCGCCTCCCTAGCCTCAATCCTGCTAGTACAAATCCTAGTCACGGTGCAAATGTTGATCAAGGTTGGGAGACTGACTCACAAGGACGAATCGAAAGATCCTACGCCTTGCAAGAGGAACATTCGTCATGCGATAAATATGGAACCCTAGGATGGCGTAGCTCAGGCTGAACTACACAATCGAACTTTGGGAGGCGGAGAAAAGAGTATCACACTTCACAATTCGTTTTCGGACTGGTCAAGAGGCGACTTCAACACCAGGGTGATCAATTTCCGCAAGTATTCTATACAAAATATGGCCATCCTGCTTTGCGCTCCATGCAATACTCCTTTCACACGCTGGATGTCGAGACATCACAAGGGCGGGTCCTTGCCTTAGAAACTGAACGAACTCGACCTATGACGGCTTATAGAATCCGTTGTCATAAATTGGCATTTTACAAAATTTAACTTCAACTTCTTCGCGGGGAATCGCATGCAAGCAGATGGTCGGGATCGTTGAACTATTAACTGATGGAACGTATGTTGAAAACCCATACGAACTTTTTTTCTCATTTCCGCTCCAGCCGTTTGGCAATCCCATTTTGTTCGCTTATTTGTTGATATAAACAGGAGATCTGATTTTTCTTCTCAAAAATAATACCAGACTGGACATGAATCACTGCACAACAAGATGCCGGTCAAAAGTTGACCACTGTTTTGATAATCAATCTTGATTCCTTGTCTCGTGTGTTACTGGCAGTGGCGTAAGCCAATGGAATCGACTGAATCCCAGTAAACCGATGGGTGATGAGCTTCGTCACATCCGGCTTGAGAGCACCGCCTCTCACAGCTTCCATGATCTCGATTGCTTGAGGATAGCAGTTAACATAGCGCCAAACAGACACAATATTGATCTCACGGCCGGTAATTTCTGCAATTGGCCACGATTGAACGGGAGTACCCATGCCCACAAGCACGATATTTCCACCGTTATCAGTTGCCTATATTAAGATTAATTGCCTCGTTCTTATGCGTGAGTTAGCATGGGAGCTCACATAGATAGATGCCTGCGCGCAACTCTCTATCCCCGTACATTCAAATACGTGTTCAACCCGGCCCACATTTCCCCCCCCGGGCCATTTCAGCTTCCCAATTTCTACTGAAAGCTCCTTCCCGATTGAAAGACGCTCTTTGAGGTCCTTGCCTTGTCGTGGAACAACAACAAACCCTGTATCTGCGAAACCATGATCGAGTGCAAATTGGACCCTTCCTTGGTCAATGTCGGCAATTGCCACAGAACTATTATGCTTAATTTTCGCAACGGCAGCGCAGAGGAGCCCAACTGCCCCGGCTCCGAAAACTAAACACAGTGATTTCTCCTTCATGGTAGCTCTATTAACGGCATGAATGCTCACTGACAGAGGCTCAAGTAGAGCGCCATGGTCAAATGAGAGTGCGTCGGGTAACCTGGTGACAAATTCGTTAATTAGGGTCTTCTTCATGCAGTACAATACTTACCGGTGACACCATTCAGCAGGGTGGTCAATGTATTCTTGCAGGGTTCCTTGGAAATGTGGAAATGATGCGCCACTGCTCCGGAAGCGAAGCTTCGAGCATATATTGTATCGGCCGTCCTCACACTTCGGACACTCTTGGCAAGGTACACCACTTTCAACCGCAACTTTGTCACCGACCTGGACTTTTCCCAATACTCGAGCAGCGGTACCCACCTCCACAACTTCACCGGCCGCTTCATGCCCGCCACACAGTGGCTCTTTCACCTCAATTGATCCGTTCTTGCCATACTTGAAATAATGTACATCGGAGCCGCATAAAGTTGTTGCTCGGATCCGTATCCTCACATCTGACGGGCCGATCGAAGACAACGGTCGGTCCTCAAGGCGAAGTTGCCCAGGACCATGAAGGTACTGGCCCTTATTGGAGATGTGTGAGATTGACATTGTTGTAAATCCAGTTTGAGTTAGTTCTACTCGTTGTGACAGCAATATTAAAGACTGCCCGGGTAAAGGGCCAACATCTCCACATATACCCTAGCCGTGAAATGAGTTCCGATTTCCGGAAATCGCCCCTATAACATTTCTGGGATATCACATCTGAATTCCGGTACTCATAATCGCCGGGACTATTCTTCCGAAAGTTGGTTGATTTATTAAAGACAAAGGGCAGTAGATGGAAGTTCGATTATGGATTGTTGTTAACACTCTCTCTTTCTTCTGTCTGTACTAGTACCACTATATACTCTGCAAAATGGCTTCCTCTTACTCGCCAACTGCCATCATCATTGGCGCTGGCCCTGGTGGTATCTCAATGGCGTACCGGCTGAAACATGAATTGGGCTACGACGACTTTCTTGTAACAACCAGCTTAGAGTCCCTGTGTGTGCTATCATGTACTAACACCTAACAGATATACGAGAAGCTAGATGGCGTGGGGGGCACATGGCGATCCAATACTTATCCCGGATGGTAAGCCCCTTACAAACAACGATTTTGAAGGACAATTAATGACGCGGTTGCAGTGGCTGTGATCTTCCCTCTCATCTTTACTCTTTCAGTTTCAGTCTGAATCCAAATTGGTCTAAAGAACTCTGTGAACAACCTGAAATTCTGCAATGTTAGTTGGTTACCTGGGCATCTTTCTAAGCATACGGGCAAAAGAAACTTTACTGACAAGACGCCATCCCTAGACATTGAAGATACTGTTGATAAATTTGACCTACGACAACATGTCATCACCTCTGTGGAGTGCCTAGGCGCCTCTTGGGTTGACGACAAATCGGAGTGGGCTGTGCGGTTTCGTGACCTGCAGACTGGGCTCGAGTTTGAGCGTCGTGCTACTATATTCGTTTCGGCTGTCGGTGCCATTTCGTTTCCCCGGGACGTCAAGTTCAAAGGAATGGAGGACTTCAAGGGCGAGATGTTCCACACTGCACGATGGGATCATTCCGTTGATTACACTGGCAAGCGAGTGGTATGGCTTGACTACTTGATGCTGAAACAACCTACTCGACTGTAAATGCTAATGTGTCTTAGGCTGTAATTGGAAACGGCTGTAGTGCTGCCCAAGTTGTGCCTGCGCTTGCTGAAAAAGCAGCCGCAGTACAGCAATACGCACGCAGTGCTCAATGGTATCATCCTCGTGTATGTTATCTGTTTCGCATCTCTCTCCTGATAATACCATGCTAACATATCGGTGTGAAAGCCAAACAAATCGTTTTCGCAGATTCAAAAGCGAGCTTTCCAATGGCTGCCTTTCTGGCAACGCTGGCTCCGACTGCGGATCTTTCTGCAAGCAGAGCTAGAATCCTACACCTATTTCTCTTCACCAGATGGTGTCAAAGCCAGGCTTACGGCAGAGGAAGAATCCAAAAAGTACATTCTCTCTCGTACTCCGCAGAAGTACCATGAGGCGATAGTACCTAATTTTCCGTTGGGTAGGGAAGGCGACCGTTAAACAGAGTGATTGGATCTAATATTTTCTTGGACAGGCTGCAAAAGACGGATCTTCGATCCGGGTTACCTAGATTGTCTCCATCAAACCAACGTCGTGCTTCGCAGTGAAGGGATTCAACAGTTCACTGAGACCGGTATCATCGGCTCCTCCGGTGTTGAAGAAGCGTTCGATATTATCGTTCTTGCGACCGGCTTTCAAGTCTCACAGTTCCTGGCACCAATGGAAATATATGGGAGGCATGGAATTTCCCTAAACAAACAGTGGGATGAATCCAAGGGCGCGCAGGCGTATTACGGCACCTTCGTTCACAATTTCCCAAATTTGGGCATTATGTAAGTTCCTGAACGTGTGAATGTTTATCCATCGCAGCTCACACCCAGTCAGCTTTGGCCCCAACAGTTTCCCTGCGAACAATTCTGCTTTGTTCGCCTGTGAGACCCAGGTGTGCTTTGCTATCAAAGCCCTCTTCGAGCCGATTTTGGATCGTAGAACTAAGCTGGTGGAAGTGAAGCAGTCGGCAGAGGAAAGGCATACAATCTCCATCCAAAAGCAGCTCAAGAGCACTGTGTTCGCGGGAGATTGCTCAAACTGGTACATCAACGATCACGGTAGGAATTCTGCTTCCTGGCCAGCGAAGGCAGCCTTTTTTTGGCTGGAGACGTACATTCCGAATCGGAATGCGTTCCTTTGGAAAAATGGAACAGCAGCTTGGCCTCTCTACCGATCTGTTAGGTGGCTGAAAATGGGTTCGTGGCTTTCTAAGGCCAGTCTTGTGGCGGCAATTGCGATCATCTTGTCGCGAAGTGGATTTGGTGGTTGTCTGGATGATACTGTGGCTGGAGTTGTCAAAGGTTTGCGTGCGCAAGTGCATACTCTTATTTCTTCTGCTAAGTAGATATCAGCTCCTTCAAGAGGGCTACAAGGAACAACATATGTACATCACGTAATCTACATGCGAGCGACCCAGTTTACCCGCTCCACCAAATTCAAATGCATTTAGTTCACCGAGAACTCCATGAATTAATAGAAACTAGTTACTTAGACTTACTCAGAGATGTATTTTGCATATGGCCCTCGGTTCCATACAAATGAATTCTGGCAAGGCTCTCGTACGGGGTTGCAACGGACCTAAAATTCGCTGATGAACCTGGGTAATACAGGCTTGTTGGGACTCATTTAGCTACGATCGTAGCTCACAAAACACCTGATTAGTCTGTTGCTTCATTTGCTTCTTTAGGGGCGCCTAAATGGCTTCTTGAGGACAGTGGCCGATTCATTGTGGTTTCACATGTGTTGAAATCCCGAGTTCTTCTCGCAGAACTAAGCGGGCTCCGTTGGTATTCTAGGCGCTGCTTTAGTAGAATTTTACCCACAATGCCTGATCTTGTTATTATACGTAGTTCGATGGCATCTTTGTCTCCCAATGCCTAACCCGGCTCACCGAGGTGCCGGTGTGCGAACCGAATATTAAGCTTTGCGACCACTAGATTGAGGTCATAAGGTAGTATATTGGCTACTGCGAAGCTATTTTTGATAGTCTTGTCTTGGAATTCCTCGATTCAGGCGCGGGGGTACGCCCCGATAAATATAGTTGGTTCCGCAGCGCATTTTCGTTTCGACAAAACGACCGCACGAGCGCATCAACACCGTAAAGCAAGCGATATCGGAGGGGCTGTGGAGTTATGTGACTTCCGTGGCGGTCGAGTATCAAAAGTCGATATTTCCCCTTCGTACGAGCGATTGTCGAAGGAATAAAGACCCTTTTAGCCACTGAAGGCCATTTCCATCAGGGATCCATCCACTCATACTAGCTTCGAAGCACTAATAATCTGGGAGACAGTCAAACCAAGATTCGATAAAGACTTTTCCACACGGAGGCAACGCCCGCCCCAAGCATTCGTACACTGCGTCGCGGTCACCCACTTGCAGTTTCCGGGTTGTAAAAGTAACCGCTCATCGTCGTATATCTCCCTCGTGATACCTTTTGCGGTCGCCATTGCAAACCCGGTCTCGTCAGAGTTATAGGTATTGTTTGGATCGATGCTGTATCGAAGTATCGTACGCTGTACGCAATCGAACCATTCGCTAACGATTTTTGGATCTTCACTTTGCGCGCTTGTAATTATAACATCTCGAATCCGGGTCAGAGGCAGAACTGCCCTTTCACGGAAGTTATAAACTCAATCATCGCCGACTGGTTGAATCGAGGTAGTTCCCGGCGCTGCGAGTAGTAAATCCGCCATTTCTAGCACAGTCGTAGGTCCGGGGGCTGCTCCGCAAGAATAGATAGGGAGTAAGTATCCACCTTCCAAGCCATCCCCAATTGCTATCAATTTATGTCTATTGGGGCGAGTTTCACCGTGGTTGGTATAGCCTCTTAGACGGCGGCGTAGAGAGGTCTCCGGTACTTCAAAACGAAGCGCTGCTTCACGATCGCTGACTTCTGGATTCGTATAGCCTAATAGTTAATAAAATTCTCTTCTTGTTGATTAAATTTTGAGAGGATTGAGTAAAATAGTGGCATCATAGATGGTTGAAGAAGTTATGTTTTAATTAAACGACGCGTTTCGCGTTGGCATGCGATCACGACGCTCGCTTGGGTGAACCGCTTCCTGTCGAGCCGCGTAACCCAAAACACTACATTAAATGCGACATATTATAACTCGATATCTTGACAACCATAGGTTATCGTAAGGTCTTCTTATAATGCTTGGCTCTTTGCGATATTGAGGGCATGATTTCACTGTCGTACTAAATCTAAAGATGTGGTTATATATTTTCAGCAGAATGAAGTAAATTATCGTCCATTTTACTAAACAGAACAGCACAACTAATCAGCTGATCTTCCTTCAACTCCCATGGAATTTCCAACATCCTGAATACTCATTATAGCATTATAGTGAAAATAAAATAAGGAAACTTGTCGTCGATATTCGATTTTAGAATATCGTATTTTAGGTGCGCAACCCGGCTAGGTGAATTGTTAACATGTAATCAACATGCGAGCTGGCCCAGCACGAGACTTCACTTGACTAGACCTGATCTTTTTTACAAACCACCATGCCACCAATTGATACTCAATCATCTCAAAATTCAATTGAGCAAGAGGGAAGGCTTTATTAGCTACCCGGACTAATATGCAGAAACGGTGCTACCGCGGGTACCCTCAGAAGCCAAGAAAAACCCGTGCTTCCATAGGCGGACAGAAGATGATCAGGGCAGGATGGTGCGATGGCTGTGAACGTATCATCGAAACACTTTTTGGTGCCATCCTGCTTCACGTTCTTCAATACCGTCTGCAATACAAAATAGGTTGCTGTCTCTTGTTCTTAATGTAAGTCTCCGTTCATGGTGTGGCTGGTTATTCGACGTACATTGACAGCCTGTAATTTTTGAATATCCTATCCTCAGTCATGTTCCACGGAAGGCTTGTCCACGGGAATTCCAGCTGCGAGGGTTCTTTGCACCGGGTGATTGTTCAGCGATCTCATTAGACAGGAAACGGGATAAATTGCATGTTCATGCAATATTTACGCTGCAGCTTGCCTAGGTTATATGCGAATACACGGTCAATTTCCTCTTTTTTGGTCAAATCACAGGTATGAGTAATTGCCGATATGTCCGATTTGGCGTTTCTATCTCCAGAAACAACTTTTTACCGGTAGTATAAGAGCTTTTCCGGGGAGTCTTTGCGTCATTCGAGGTTAGGCTCCAGCAGCACATTCGTGACCACGACAGTGGCACCACATTCATGTAAGTCCTCCACAGTGCTAGTCCAATATCTCGGGCGCCATCTTATCAAAAATAAGAAGTGAGCCAATTATATAGTTTGATATGACCGAGTGAGGGTACGAATGACTGAGGATCACTCGCCTAGCCTGGCTAAAACGGCCTGAGTCGACGTGAGGTGCAACTCGGATGACATGGCCTGCGAAGAGTATGTTCCTCCTTGAATATTCTAGCAAGATTCCAATATATCTTACACCTACAATTATCGTCTCAGTGAGGCTACTCCCGCTGAAGGATTGTCACTGGTAATCATATCATGCCTGGAGTCCCTTAAATAGTCTGACTATAGCATACAAAATCCTGTCAGGAAGGGGAAGGAATAAACTTCGCGTCCACCATCCGGTCAAACGTACTGTGGTAACCCTTGACGGTGTCAATATACTCGTTAAACCCAACAGAGCGAGCCGCGTCAAGGGAATATTCGCGATCAAAGTCAAAATCCACAAGCATAAAATGAGCGTGGCCCCAATTTTGAGACTCGATCAAGCCCCTTTTCAGTCCATGAGCCTCAACCAAGCGATTCCACACCGTTAGATTCGCGTGAACAAAATCCTCCATTGTTTTCTGTTTGCCATCCGGTTCAATACCAACTAAGCCAAAGTAGGAGCAGACTCCTGGCCAGACTTGAGCCCAACTGACGGGCTGACCATCACCACAATTGAAGGTCGATCCATTGGGGCATTTCTCACGATTGAGGGATGCGTAGATTTCCATTTTGGCAAGGATATCCTGGAAGGTGTCGCTGTGGCGTGTGTGATAGCCGTGCGGCTTACCAGGGAAAGGAACCTTGCTACCTTTTCCGTAGACTTCTCGATACAGCGTAAGATAGAATGCAATGCCGAACCCCATATTCATAACATTAGACCCGGGGGCGAAGCCAACAATTCCATCCGGTCGAATTTCGGAAAATGTCCATTTTTGACCCTTAGAAAGGCTCAGTAGAAGATCATACTGGTCGTAGTAGAAAATGTTGCTGCGCCAGGGATCCGGGATCCGGGGCATGGTCTCGCGAAGAGGAGGCTCGATCTTGACCTGTTCGGGAAACTCCAACCCGTAGCCTTTACCACCAGTCTGTAGAATAATTACTTCTAGATGAGGTGAAATGGCAGAGATGGCTTCTGTGGCCGTTTTAAGAAGGGCCGTGTTGACCTGACGTAGGGACTGGAAATCGCCTGTCTGAATATAGGCTAGCGAAGAATCAGCATTTGAAACCCGATAATAGTTCTCGCTCTACAAGCACGTACCGCAAAAGAAGACCACATTGACTGACTCAATATCGTCAACCTTGGCTTTGAGTTGATCGCTAACCGTCTCCACCGATTGTGTAAGGTCGATGCCTGACACAAAGCGAAGACGTGCATCATCTGGCAAAAGTGCATCCTCGGTTGGGAATGGTCGATTGGACAGACCGGTGACGCGGTTGAAGGTCGTAGGTGTTGGGTAGTGGAGGCATTGATTCAGGAGGGACCACCCCGAAATACCCGAGGCTCCAAAAATAAGAGCGTGCTTGCCAGATTGAGGCATGGCGGACATGTTGAGACTTCGCTATAAGATGTAGAAAGTATAAATAATAAAAGTTTAGTTTATCGTAGGACTTATAGCCAAAGGACACGGCCGTCTTTAAATTCCTGCTTGAGACCAATCAAAGTTGTCATACCCGGGTTTCATATCCCGTTTCATATCCCGGATTATGACTGGGGTTTGAGCGAAAACTCCCTAGTCCATTTCCCTCCCTGGATTTTTGGTAAACCCGAACAGGTACGATTATGGATTTCTAAAGAACGGTTCAATTTTCTCTTTGTGCAGAACAATGTTACATACCTCTATCGACTTCTATCGGGCGAATGAAATCCAAGGATCTTCATTGAGGAGCATTACGAGGATCACTTGGCTTTTATGTACCTAGAGACCAGCATTACTGTATTAGTAGCGTGTTCCAGCTTTACAGCAAGCAGAACAGCAGGCAAGGATGCCTCCAAGCAGCCAATGTTTCCGAATATCTCCCCCAGTCCCATACATGCTTCAGGTAGTGGGGGATGATTCTGGTGTCATTGTGGCGCCGCTGAAACACGGTTGTCGCATATGGAGGTGTTCCTATTTTGACCC